TGGAGAAAACTAAGCAACCGTACTAACTGGGCTCACTTAAAATTTATGACCACAAACCTTACATGGGCATTCAATACTGTATGGCGATCCTATATACTTCTTCAGTAAATTAACTTTCCCACTCTTCAAAATGGCTATTTCATACTTTTCTTTTTTCTCAAAGCTCCACCAGAGCCTTCTCTCTACTTTCTGCTAGTAACTTTGCCTCAGACTTCAAAGGGAAAAGTTGCAGTGAGATCAGAACAGTCTCATCTTCCCACTATCAATTCTGCCAACTTACCCACAGCATATGTTCTAAATCCCTGCTTGTGAAAATGAAAGCAGTATCCCTGTTCTTAACAAAGAAAACACTTCTCCTTGTGCATTGGATCCCATCTTATCTCAGCTTCTCAAGTACTCTGAGGCAAGTGTCTTCTAATGTGGCACAGCTGGGGCCCACACTTGATCCATAAATCAAAATGGTAACTAAAGCTGGGTATCATTAAAATAATTATAACTAATGTATACCATTCATTCATTTGCCAGTCTTTTGCAGGACAAAACTTGCAGTTCTGGTTCACCTTTTGCATATACTGTGTCATCTATAAATTTTAGCTTTGTTTCTTTTCAGTTCAGGGAGAATGGAAAGATGCTTAAAAATGATCTGAGGCAAACATCCTTGATTATTATGAGTTCCTCAATTATTTATAGTTGTGTTGCTCATAAGAATAGACCAATGTTTTTAGTAACTTACTGAAAAGTCTTTACAAAGCATTCAGCTAATGTTTCAAGCAATTTTTTTTAATGGTTTCTTCATTTTATGTAGTATTTCATTACATTACATAACTATAGAAATGAATACAATAGGCTGTGCTGGTTGATTAGGGCTGCCATACCAGCCCTCATTGCCAGATTGAGTGGCTTGAAAAACAGAAATTTATTTCTTACAGTTCTGAAGGCTAGAAATCCAAGATTAAGGTATCATCAGGTTTGGTTTCCTTTGAGATCACAGGGCAGGATGAGATGATGGCCTTTGGCTTGCAGATGGGCACCTTCTGGCTGTTGTCACATAGGTATTTTCCCTCAGTGTGCATGCTCCTGGCACCTCTCTTCCTCTTCTTAAAAGGATACCAGTCCTATCAGCTTCCCAGGTGGCACAGTGGTAAAGGATCTGCCTGCTAGTGCACGAGACACAAGAGACTTGGGTTCAGGAATGGCTACCAACCCAGTGTTCTTGCCTGGAGAATCCCATGGACACAGGAGCCTGGTGGGCTACAGTCCATGGAGTTGCAAAGAGTCAGACATGACTGAGCACAGCACCTACTAGATTAGGGCCCCACACTTAGGACCTCATTTAACTTTTCAGAACATCCTTCAAGGTGCTATTTCCAATTACAATCCATTGGAGGTTAGGACTCCAACATAATGGAATGAGGTGGAGGGCAACATTCAGTCTATAAATTAGACTTAGCAGTTTTGAAGATGAATTACAACTGTATCTTTGTAAACAACAGATCAAACTGGAAAACACAGTTATACATGGGCTTCAGAGTGTGAATTACCAGTCATGGGGATCACTGCTTTACCCCCCTTCCCCCCTAAAAATAGACAAAGATTGCTAATCCAGTCTGAAGTAGAGGCTGATTAAGAGAATTTCAATCATACTAGTGTATCTGCATTATCAGTTTTTTCCTCTCTACTAAATGAGTTATATCTCTGTATAAATATGGTTTAAAATAATATTTTAAAATGAACCCTTCCTTGGCCCCATCTCCTTCTACTACTGCTCTATTTCTTTTCTTTCTCCTCCCCTCCCAATCCCTCTTAACCCATTTACTCTCTCTCAAGTCACAAAAGAGCTGCATATATTTGCTGTCTGCACATCCATCTTTATTTCATCCTTTACTATCTACTCTGATTGGGCAAAATGGTCCTTTTCAAGGTCACTATCATTTTCACCTTGCCAAAGTCAATGGTTAATTTTTTGTTCTATCTTGAATTCTCCTTGGATATTTACAAAGTCATTGTTCCCCCTTTTAAATTTCTGGCTCTGTGACAGCCTCTCCTCTGTTTTCAATCCCCTACTATCACATTACCCACCAATCTTGGAGTGTCCATGGCTCTGTCTTTGGCTCTGTCATCATCTTTTTTGACATTCTATCCTCAATGTAATTCTCATCCCATCTTGACTTGAAAAACCACTTTGACATTCATAATTCTCCTACATCTCTTCTCTCATGACCACACTCGTATATCTAACTGCCTATCTAATATCTCCACTTAGATGCAAATGACTTTTCAAATGGAAAGGGACCAAATTAGAATTTGTGGTTCCCACTCCCACTTTCGATACAGCAGAACTCTCTTCTTTGCAGCCATTCGATGTTCAGTAATGGGGCCACAACATCACCAGTTACTCAAATCAATGATGTAGGAGTCACTCAGATTTCCTTTTTGTTCCTAATATTCTATATCCATTATTTAGAAAGTTCTATGAGTCCTTCCCCAGAACCTATCCCAAATCCCATCTCTTCTTGTCATCTCCATGCCACCTCTCTTGTTGCAGCTACCTACCTCTCCCCTGGGTCACTTCCACAGCTCTAAGTCATCTTCCTGTCTCCATTCTTGCCAGTATAACCACTACAGTCCATCTTCTACAAATAAGGCTTCTAAAATGTAAACTGGATCATTCCTCTCTCCTACAATAAAATTCTATAATGGTCTCCATTATTTCTGAATAGATTCTAAATTCCTCCACTGGACTACAAGGTGATCTGACCTCTACTGACTTTTTGATCTCACGTTTCTTTATTCTCTTCATTATCTACAGCTTTTAGCCAAACTGGCTTTCTGTCCGCCCCTCAAACACACCAAACTAGTTCTCTTCTGAGAGCCTTTCCACATTTGGATTCTTCTTCTTGAAGCATTTTTTCCCTATATCCTTGCAGAGTGGCCTTTGATTTTCTTGTCTGATTGAATAAACATAAATGACTGCTATGACTAACTGCATTGTGCAATTTTTTAAAAGGCCAGGCAAACTCTTAACCTAAATGAATTTAATTTTATGAATGGAAATGAGGGTGTCATTATGTTTGATGAAGGAGAAAGGGAAGTATAGTAGCTTCCTATGCTGGACCAGTCAGACCACATATACTTTCCTGGTTTTCTTTCTTCCTACCTTCACTTTTCTGCTTGTGGTAATTCAGTACTGGTAAGTTCATGACTTGGACCTCCCATGTCAACTCAGTTCACCATAATCTGGGAAAACTTTCTACTTGCTATCTCCCTGCCATTCCTCTGGACATCTCCTTGGGACATCCTTCCAACCAGGCCTCAGAACCAGCTATATAATATGTGGGATCCAATGAAAAATGAAAATGTGAGGTTCCTTGTTCAAAATTATTAAGGATCTGAAGATGGTGACAGCAGAGCATTAAACCAAGCGTGAGTCCATTCTAAACGCAGGACTCTGGCGACTGCATAGGTCACATACCTTTGAAGTTAGCTCCTTAGGCCCTTCTTTGACATCAGGCTCATTTTCTCTCTAACACTTCTTCTAACACCTTCCAATCTCTCCTCCATTCTGACTTCTCTCTCTTGATTCCTGTCCCCAATACAACATTAATCCATGTGTGAAAGGTGAAATGTTAGAGTGGAGAGAAACATGGGCAGAAGGAGCTGGAAGCTTGAAAAATCAGAGAATGAGGGTAGAAACACTAAGTCTGGCAGGCAGGAAAATAAAAATGCTTGCTCACATTGTGGCAGGTAACAACCACCCAGGGCGTTAAAATCCCTGGATTCTGATATTTTTATATCTCTACAATCCTCCCAATTAGTTTTGTTCATATAAGGGACTAGACCCATAGTAAGAACGGTGCTTTGTTACAGTTAATTAACTCGCCTTTATTGTTGTCATGAATGTTATCCTTTTTACATTGCCTGGAAGAAAAAATCTCTCTTGTTATTCCAGATGCATTGAGTCTATTCTCCTTAATCTGTACACAAACTGAACTGCACAAATTTCCACTGTTTCTCTGCCTGTTTCTTTTCACTGGGAGAGATTCATTTTGAAACTGAGTTCACACTTGAAGAATGAAGCCCAGCTCATTGCCAGCAGGCCTGGAATTCAGCTATTTTCAGTGCAAACAGGACTTGAGCTTAGATAAAAAGTAAAATATTGGGGCAACCAGAAGGAACTGTGTAGACTCCAGAGACTTTTGTGTTAGTGTTTTCCCTTCAATGGCTACCTGTATTTGATGGGTCAAATGTAATTTTCTCCTCTTTCCCTCTGGCATTTCTTCAAATAATGTGTGTCACCACTAACAGGCAGTTAGGTCACTAGAGGTACTTTCAATGCTTAAAAGCTTTCAGGGTATCTCATTTTCATATGAAAAAGAGGCTACTTCTTTCTTTCTTTTTGGGACATCACAGCTGTCTCTCTCCTCTTTCCCTAACTTCCCAGTGACTTAAAAAAAAAAAAATTAGTCTGCCTCTGACCTATTTTGGTAACTTGGATCTCCATGGAGATGCCTGGATTCCTAATATAAAATATCTTCTGTCCCATTCCAATTACCATTTACTTGAACAGTGAAAGCTGGCACAGAGATAATATTTTTGAGAATTCAAAAAGCTAGAATACAAATAATCTGAGGTGACAGTGGTGCCACTGCCTCTTGGCAGTACCTCGCACATTCTTCAAGAAAAGTTAGCTCTAAAGTATGTCACCCCACTTTCAACAATGACCTGTGCCTCTCATCCCTTCTGTGGCATGAATCCTAAGCCTAACTTTAAACTGACACCAGGCACCTAAGCTTTCTCCAGCCTGCCATGTTGGAGGGTTAGTTCACAATCTACAGGCGCCTCCATGACAATTTGATGCATGAGTAAGTTTGGGTCCCCCTGGTCAATGTAGGCTCCAACTGTCCCCAAGCAGAAGGAAGGAAAGAAATCTCTGAGCCAGAAATCAGCAAATAAGAGTAGCCGAGGGTGTGCAGAGGCCCTGTCGCGGGCTACTTTAGAGCATGCTGAATGGAGTGTGCGGTCAGCTCGCCTCTGTGCTGTGGGGGACAACCCCGCTGCCACCCATCATCACCAACTCCGTGCCCCCCCCCCAGGTGTCTGTATGCATTGGGGTCATCGCAATCTGCGAGACAAGAGCGAGAGGAAGGAGAAACCACCCCACACCTTTGACCCAGTGCTGCTCGAGTTCCTAGTGTGCCTGCTCTCCAAGAAGCCACTCAGATATGAAGCATCAACAAATGAATTGATCAATGAAGACTTAGGAATAGCCTGTTCAATTATTGATGGGATTCCTAACATGATACAACAGGCAGCTAGGATGACACATCAAAATAAGAAGCAAGAAGAAATGGAGCATTAGATTATATTTAAAAACAACAACACACAACTAAATATTCTAAATACCATCTCCATTTTAAAAAGTCAAAGTAGCAGGTAATAAGTGGAGGAGGAGAATACTTCTGTCTCTTCCAATGCTGACTGTTTTTACTCCATTGGCAATCTTTGGCAGGACTGTTTTACTTGGCCTTTGCGAAAGAGAAGTTCGCACAGGGCTGCACTAGCACTGTGCTTTTACAATCTGCTCTTGCCAATTACCATACCTGTTTATGTGTTCTTCCACCTTTGGACTTAGATGGGTATTAAACTTTTCAGGCATAATTAATGCAATCAGAGCCAAGATGGTATATCCTAATGATATGTTTGAATGTCTATCTCTGAAAGCTCAACTACATGGAAATACTGGAAACCCACTTAATTTGCAGGAAAGATGCTTTGCCTAGCTTCTGTCAAAGGCTTAAGGACTATGGGAGGATTAAGCTGCAGAGGCTTCTTCATTGTACTTTGGTTTTGCCCATGTTTTTTGAAGGTTGTCATTTATACCTCAGGTATCAGAAGAAACATTTCAACAAAGTGCCTTGGAAATTAACAGCCCCAACCATCATCTGATGACTTACCCCATTCAAAATTAAAAGTTCCCAATTTTAAATTTTATGTCTATTTTAGATTCAAAGTCTTTGGTAAAGTCACATGTTAAAGATGACTGAAATAATTCCAAAGGAGCAATGTTGGAGTAGCTGTAGAGAAACGCATTTGAACTAATGTGATATAAAATTGTAATAAAATGAAAATTCCACGGACTTGCCAAAATTCAGTTTGTAAAATCACCTTCATTTCTTTGGCATCAAATGCTTACATTATTTATAATAAAATAAGATATTGATGCTTTCAAAAAAGAAAAAAAGAGTAACCCATTCAAACTAGATAGAACAGAAGAACATTTCTTGAAATGCTGTAATAGTAAATCACTGAATCCATAAGTAGGAAATGGACCTTAGGAGACGTGACCAGACACAGGCTCTCCCCTCCCCATCTCTATTCTCTCTCTTCACCTCTCTCACTCGTTTGCTCAGGTACTCAACATCACTATACACAGTAGGCGAGAATGTGGACTCTGGCACTACACTTGCTAGCTTTCCATCTTAACTAATCTGTGCTTCAGTGTTCTCTTCTGTAAAATAGTACATAGTAATAGTATCTACCTCAAGGTGTTGTAAGGATTAAATGAGTTAATACATATAAAGTGTTTTGCTCAACACTTTGTATCTATTAAGCTCCTCTCAAACTAAGCTTTCTCTGCTCGTTTATCACTACTCATGACTCAAGCATAGTGATCCCTGTTCTGGTTTTTATAAGGTCCAGAGCTCTCTGCTAATTGACTCTGGTATACTAAGTGACAAAAAAAAACAAACAAAAATTAAAAAAAAACTCTGTGCAGTATTAAATCACAATTAGAGTTTTGTTTTTTTTTTTTAAACCAGTTGAAACTAATCAGAGTATACATATACTATAGAACCTATAGAACTGAATTCTGAAATGACATGACTTAAATATTATGAAGTCCATATTCCCAGGAAGGTAGCCATTCTAGTCCAATTGTCACTGGCTAAAGGGGGTGGGGTCGGAGCCATATTCAGTTCAGTCGCTCATTCCTGTCTGACTGTTTGCGACCCCATGAATCGCAGCATGCCAGGCCTCCCTGTCCATCACCATAGAAGCTAATATATCATTGCATGACAAGCAGTGTCCTAGGAACTGATACATATTAATTCATAAAAACTCCAAACTAGTCACTATGAATAACCTCACTTATAAAATGAGGGCCTATTAGGATGAAGAACTGAAAGTCATATAAATAATAATAGCAGAACCAGAATTTGAGCAAAGACCCATGGCTTTAACTGGCTCCTCACAATCTCACCCTCGAGAAGGAAGCTGACTCTCAGAAAGGAAACAAACACAGATTTAAAAAGAAGGGGACTGTAGACAGGGAGGAATGATTAGTCTTTCTTATTCAGAAAAATCTTGAGGGTGTACATCTTTGAAGAAAGCAAAGTCTCTGTCTATGTGAACTGACGTTAAACCTTGATGTGATGTGAAACCCCAAGAAGCAGAATTATCTGACTCTTAAGTCATCATGGACAATGAGTTGCTAGAATCACAGAGAGATTCAATACTATTGAGTCATGTTGATGAAATTTGCATTTTGCCTAGTTCCTAAATACAATTATCTATAGGCATTTGTTCAAAATCCTTCTGAATACATATACAGGTATTTATATGAATGCATTTATATGAATAGATATATAGCCCTATGCATATATGTATATAACATATACATAAATGTCTTATGCTGTGAGTTATATGGCTATGTATAGTATCATGAGAATTCATGTTAATCCAAATATCACATAAGATTAAATTTAAAAGTATTAAGATCTGACTCATTTAAATTCTAGTAAGGTTAAAAAAAAAATAAAATGCCCCTCTAGGCACAGAGTTACAGTCTCTGATTTTCAGCTTCAGATCATCTACTGAGCGGATGAGAATAGAGAGATCTTTGACTTTTTATAAACTGAAGTATTTCTCTTTTCCTCCCTGGATCTCTATCCATCTTTATTTTTCCTCTCTCCAAAAAAAGAAATCTTATTATAATTCCTTTACCTTACACTTCTCACCCCCACTGGCATCAAACACAGCTGCCACCTCTGAAATTCTTCTTTGTTGCAGACACAAACCTTCTCTGCACATTAAGAATCAAAGGCTAAAAAATCATCTGCAGCTTTTCCAGCTCCCAGCAGATAACCTGAACCCTGCAAATGCAATCCAGTCATCTCTAAAATCCTGAGAATTTAACATCTGAAAAGAACCCATATTCAGTAGAGTGTTTTAAACTGCTTCAAATTCTGTATGTAAAATCACTATGCTCTAAAAGGTTTCAGATTAATTTGTTCCAAAAATATTAGACTGCCACCCACATTCAAACTGACTTGGTGTGGAAGGGGAATATAATTTAAGCAAGAATTATGTCTGCACTTAAAAGTCTTAAAATTAAGAAGTAAAGTCTACACACAAACTATACATTAAGGGAGAAACTATCAAGGGTCAGGTCAATTATTCTATATCCTTTAATTGTCATGTCACGCATTTGAAAACTATAATTTTTAATGGCTTGACAAAAAGATTCAAAGTAACACCAAAATTAATGAGCAGTAATTACAATAACATAGTACAGAAAAAGAGTCTGTAAGTGTATGGGGGACACGTTCACAGAATAGCATTACTATTTCCTGTCAACCCTTCAGTTTCTGCCAATTGATCAGAAGTGTATTGCCTGACTCTGTCCTTTCAGGATAATCAGAAGCAAAGTTCTCAGAGGTTCTAAGGAAGAGGCAATCTCTCTTTCATGCCTTGACTTTGTCCTGCCTTCTTTGACTCTGTCCTACTATCTTATTTCTTACATCAATTTGGGCCAAACCCTGCCCCATATCCCATTGCATCAATACACAGCACTGTAATGTTGCATCACCTCAACTGTAAGGAACTATATCATATACATCTGCATCAGCTTGGGCTCTTTTGCTGCCAATGAACAGAATAACCAGTCATCCCAGTTTGCCCAAAATGAGGTTTCCTGGGATGCAGGACTTTAAATGACAAAAATGAGGAAGTCCCTCACTATAGATAGGAAATTCAACTCAAACTGGCTTAATTTAAAAGGAAAATCATGAGCTTACATAGAAGGGGAAACATGCAACTTTGGGAATGCCTAGATCCAGAGGCTCAAAGATCATCCAAGTAGTCTCTTTCCATTTCTCGGTTCTGTCTCCTATGCCCTCCCTCCTCTCACCCTAGTCTGGCTTTCATCTCAAATCCCACATGGCAGCATGTCAGTCCCAGGCTAAAAACCTTCCAGATTCAAATGTAGAAGAAGAAAAAAAAAAGTTATGCTTCTTTCTTCTGTTCCCAACAGTCTGAACAAGGGCCTAGTTTTTATTGATCCAAGATGGGTCATGCGCCCATTCTTAAACCAAACCCTGAGCCAAAAGAAAAGAAATGCTGGTTTGCACAGGCATAGGTCACATCCCCACTTATGCATCTAAGATTGGGGTCAAGCCCACCCAAACAACGGGAACTAAGAGAGAAGACATGGCAGCTCCTCCAAAGGAAACACCAAAGTAGACAAAAGTAGATTCTGGGAAACCAATAAATACATTAATAATTCACGCAACAAAATTTGGTGCTATCCCTGAGCCACTATTATGGAGAATAGATCCACTGAGAAGTACTGGCTTTAGAAAACGTTGTAGTTGGGAGAGAGATGGTTAATGGGAGGGACAGTTGACTTAAGGGTGATGGGTAACACAGCTGGGCAGAAAGAGTGGGTGCACATCAATAATTGAGTAACACTGATGCTATTGATCTTAGGATATTTTTTCAAAGATCTTCTGTTGCTTTTACTATGCTTCATAGTGAAATTTTCTGAATTTTTCAATTGCTCATTCTTGTTACTAGGCAAAGGCATTGTATGTATTAGGTTGGTACAAAAGTAACTGTGATTTCGGACTGTGAATTTTAAATCATTAAAACTAGGCTCAAACACATCTCTATTAATCAAAATAGGAACCATTACAATCAACACATTTTTGCCAAAAAGAAATATGTTTGTTTATTCCTGTAGCATAAAAATCCATGCTTCAGGATTCAATGAACTCTTGGAAAGCATTTTCTACCTCCTGCTGGTTGTGGAAGTGATTTCCTTGCAAAAAGTTGCTTGAAGAAGTGGTAGTTGGTTGGAGAGAGATCAGGTGAATATGGCAAAACTTTGTAGCCCAATTCATTCAACTTTTGAAGCATTGGTTGTACAATGTGTGGTCAGGAATTGTCATGGAAAATTGAGCCCTTTCTGTTGACCAATGCCAGCTACGGATATTGCAGTTTTCAGTGCATCTCATCGATTTGCTGAGCATACTTCTCAGATGTAATGGTTTCTCCATCTCAGACGTAATAGTTTCTCTAATG